AGCCCCACGTCGCGTCACAAAAGAACCCACGAGGTTTCCTCATGTGTTTTTCAATGTTCGTTGGATTCTCGGCTTTTCGAGCTTCCGACGCTCCCGGATGCCGACGCCGACGCCGACGCCGCCGGCGCCGGCGCCGACGGACGACGACGACGACGACGACGACGATGACGACGACGACGACGATGGCGACGACGGCGGTGATGACGACGACGACCACGCCGACGACGATGACGACGAACCACCCCGCACCCACAGGGGGAGGGGGGGTGCATCAGCACCCTCCACCACGCCACGCCCATATGGCCACGACACAGGGGGGCGAGCGATCCCATTCGCGAGGCCTGTGCGAGGCTCACGGGCGTAGCCACCGATCCAGCAGGGGGGGCTCGATCCCGTATGAAAGGAGGGGGGAGAGGGGAGAAATATATATATATATATATATAGATATATATTCATATATCTATATATATATATATATATATATATACGTATATACATATATATATACATACACAAGACTTGGCGCTCGTTGCGCTTCGCTTTGAAGTCTTGGTGTAGTGCACTGTGCGCGAGGCAAAGGGGGCTGCGAGAAACGGCAAAGCATGTGGGGTGGTGGAAGAGGTGTGCGCGGTTCGACGACGGCGACGACGACAACGTCGTTGTCGTCGCCGTCGTCGAATCCATGGTGGTCGCCGGTTCGTCGACGAGCGCTTGCGGTCGTTGGGGCCTGTCGAGGCCATGAAGGTGGTCTGGGACGCTGCACGCGAGTTCGAAGTGCCAGAGAAGCCTTAGGGCCCTTGGGGCCCCCAAGGACGGGCCAGAGAGAGCCTCGTGGACCCCCAAGGCCGTCCAGATCGAAGATGCCTACGGCGAATCACCGCCGCCCCCCGCCTTCTAGAATCGCCCATGTGGCCGAGCGTTGTGGCAAAAGCTCTGCCACAATATCGGGCCATGTGTTCCTCCAACCGTTGTGGAAACCCTTCGGGGAACACTTGGGGCGCAGGAGGAGGTGGAGGAGGTGGAGGAGGTGGAGGAGAAGGAGGAGGAGGAGGAGGAGGAGGAGGAGGAGGAGGAGGAGGAGGAGGATGGGGGCATCTTGGGAGCCTCTGGGGACACTCTTGGGGCCTCCTGGGAGCTTCCTGGGAGCCTCTTGGACCTTTTGGGGCTTCTCGGGGGCCTCTTTGGCCGTCTTGGTGGGATCCTGGCCCGTCTAACGCCATCGGAAGCCGTCTTGGGGGCCTCTCTGGGCCGACTTGGGGCTTTCTTGGGGTGCTCCAGGGCCGTCTTGGAGGCCATCTTGAGCGTCTTGGAGGCATCTTGGGCCGTCTTGGGGGCCTCTTGGAGCCGTCTGCCGTTCTGGGGCCATACTGGAGACCTTGGGCGATCTTTGGGGGCTCTTGGGCCGTCTCGGTCCGTCGGAAGTCAGAAAAGACAACACATGCCACAATCCTTCAAAAACTCATGGGAAATCAATGAGTTTGGCCTTTTCGGGCCTTCATGGGGGCCCTCTCGGAGGCCTCTTGGGCCGTCTTGGACCATCTTAGGGCCATCTTCGGCCGTCTTGGTGTGCTCCTGGCCCGTCTGACGCCGTCGGAAGCCGTTTGGGGGGCCTCTCTGGGCCGACTTGGGGCCCTCTTGGAAATGCTCCAGGGCCGTCTTGGAGGCCATCTTGGGCGTCTTAAAGGCCTCCTGGGCCGTCTTGGGGGTCTCTTGGGGCCGTTTTGGGTGCCTCTTGGGCTGTTCTGGGGTCATCTTGGAGGCCTCTTGGGCGATCTTGGGGCGATCTTTGGGGGCTCTTGGGCCGTCTCGGTCCGTCGGAAGGCAGAACAAAAAGCAAATGCCACAGTCCTTCAAACACTCGTGGGAAATCGATAATTTTGGCCTCTTCTGGCCTTCCTGGAGGCCCTCTTGGAGGCCTCTTGGGCCGTCTTGAACCAACTTCGAGCCAACTTCGGCCATCTTGGTGAGCTCCTGGCCCGTCTGACGCCGTCGGAAGCCGTTTGGGGGGCCTGTCTGGGCCGACTTGGGGCCCTCTTGGGGTGCTCCAGGGCCGTCTTAGAGGCCATCTTGGGCGTCTTGGAGGCCTCTTGGGTCGTCTTTCTGCCCTCTTGGGGCCGTCTTGGGGGCCTCTTGGGCGATCTTGAGGCCATCTTGGAGGCCTTGTGGGCTCTCTAGGGACGATCCTGCGTACCTCTTGGGCAGTCTTGGGTCGTCGGAAAGCCGAAAAGGAGCAGATGCCAAAATGTGTCAAAAAACTTAAGAGAACCACTGATTTTGGCCTCTTCGGGCTCTCGTGGAGGACCTCTTGGAGGCCCCTGGAGCCGTCTTGGGACATCTTGATGCCATCTGAGGCTGTCTTGAGTGCATCTTGGGCCGTCTTGGAGGCATTTTGGGGCCATCGTAGCCGTCTTGGAGGCCATCTTGGCCGTCTTGGAAGCATCTTGGAGGCCATCTTGGGCCATCTTGAACGACAAATTGGGGAATTGAGCTCCTTGAAGATTGTCCCCGGACCCTGGCGGGACGCGCCGGAGCCCCAGGGGGAGCTCTTTTGGAAAAGAACTAAAACCGAAACCGAAAGGGTTACCCCTGCGATGAATCGACCGGGGGCGGCGGATTCATCGAATGGCCTTCGGCCCATCCCGCCACCGTGCCGGGGTTGTGGGTATGAGGCCTCTTGGATGTTCGGTGGGATCTCTTGGCAGGCTTTTCGGGGGTCTTTTTGAAGCAGTTTCGAAGCCTCTTGGGGGTGTTTTGGGCCCTCTTGGGGCGCCTTGTGGGCCTCTTGGGGACGTCTTGGGGCGTCTTGGGGGCCTCTTCGGGGCCCTCTTGGGGCCCCTTGGGAACCTCTTGGGGCCTCTCGGGGGCCGCTTGGGGTGGCGGAAGGCTTGAACTTTCGGTTTGGGCTCCCCTTCTCGGGCTCTTGGGGGCCTCTTGGGAGCCTCTGGGGCAAGTGTGGGGCGTGCTTGACAGCCTCTTGGACAGTCTTCCACGCCGTGATGGTCGAAAAGTCGTAGATGCTAAGAATCTAAGTTCCCCTTGACGAATTTGACGATGTTAGCCTCTTGGGGCCCTTTCTCGGGAGTGCTTTTGGAGGCCTCGTGGGAAGTCTTGGAGGCCTCTTGGGCTGTCTTGGAGCCATCTTGGGCGTCTCGGAAATATTTTCGGGCGTCTCGGGGCCCTCGTGGACCGTCTTCGGCACCTCTTGGAGCCTTCTTGGTCCGGGGACGGCCCAGGAGAGCCTCGGGGACCCCTGGGGCCTTCCAGATTCTATTGGGGGGGTGCGGCCCATCCCTGTCGGTCTCCTGGTGAGATAGTTAAGATAGGAATATAAGTTAGATAAAATGTATGCACTTGCTGGCTTTTGTGGATTCGCTGCCATACCAGCTCTTGGATAAACCCAAACAGGATCAGACAATGACCGACAGCCCAGGCCGCGGACCCTAAACAAGAAGAGACACTGCGAGGGGTGATGGAGGTAGGGAGGGAGAGGGGACACCGGGAGGAGCGGGGCGATCAGGGATCATGTAATAGAGCGAGAGAGAGAGAGAGAGAGAGAGAGGCGAGAAGCGAGAAGGGATAGCGTAAGGCGTCCGCGGTAGAATGTGCAAGTTTCCAGAAATTGAATCGCGCAGCAATTTCTCGCATGGGAACCTCCAGGCAGCCAGCGCCGGCAAGGGAGCGCGATTCCTGAGAAGTCTGCGCGAGGGGCCCGGGCGAGAGCGCGGCTCCTGGGTGGCAAGCGCGCGATCCATAAGCAGACTGTGAAGAGGTCCTGAGAGGGAGCGCGGTTCCAAATGACTGCACCCTGGCGCCAGAAGACCCGACACAGCGTCCTCCTATGTGTACACGACAAAACTGTTTTCACGGTGCATACCGGGCACCGTCTGGGAGAACATGCAGGAAAGCGTACGGAAGATCACCCGGGACATCATACAGGAAGACACACAAGAGAACGCATGGGATACCACACGGCAGAACATGTTGTGGAAGATCACGCGGGAGACCCAGCGGGAGAGCATGCGGAAGGCCGTGCGGCAACACATAGGGGGACCACACGGGAGACTAGGAGGCAGGACACACGGCTAGAGCATGCGGCAAAGCATGCCGGGGTTGTAGCCCATGCGGGAGAATGGGGAGACCACACGGTAGACCATGCGTGAGGCCAAGGCGAAGACCGTATGGTCGACCATATGGGGAGACCATGAAGGGGACCACACGGGAGATTACCGGTCACCGATTCCAGATTCGCTCACACCCAGCCGAGTTGCAGACATGCTGTTCAGGGAACATTGCGATGATGTCCTAGGCCAGAAAGCGACCTTTGAACAAATTTCGAGGAAGTCCTGAGAGCGAGAGCGCGATTCCTAAGTGGCGAGAGCGCGAGTCCTCAACAACTTGTCAGGAGGTCTCGAGCGGCAGGGCGATTCCAGGGTAGACTGGGAGGAAGTGCTCGGCGGGAGCGGGGGTCCAGAGCAACTTGTGAGGGCGTGTCGTGCGGGAGCCGTTTGCTGTTGCTCGGCAGCCCCGGAGAGAGCACACAGCGAGAAGCAGGCCCGCGCTCGAGTGTGAGCCTCGCCTCGGAGAGCAACGAAGCCACGCAGTAGCGAAGGCGCCCATGGTGTCAGCTGTAGATCACCAGTGGGTGTCATCCAGAAACGAGTCTACAGGGCAGTCTCTAATACATAGGAATTTCTAAACATAGGAATTTCTAACCATGTAGGACTTGTTGTACATGATTAGTTTACGAAACAAATTATGCATGAACTCGTCGTTGTTTTTAATGGTAAATTCCTGCATTTTTAATACAAGATCCGCACGCGGGGCATGTATCAAAAACAGCACTGTACATCAGCATGAACAGCTGCAGAGCAATGAGAGCAACGTGGGCCTACTTGGCCCAGCCGCCTGTGCAATTCTGCGGACGTGGCGAGCCACTCATGCTTCCTGGCGACGCTCAGGCACGGACATTCTCGAATACCTTCTCCCACTGGCTGGTGATGTCAGAAACAGTGTCCACACCAGCGCCGCACTTGATGTTGATGCCACCCCAATCCGTCTAGTCGCGTGGGCGATAGCAGGGCGCATCTGATTCCCTCCCAAGCCCTTTTGACGTACCTGCGCACGTGCACGCGCGACCACACGCGTGTACGCACACAGACATACGCGCAAAGACAAACAGACAAACAAACAGACACGCACACACCCACAGGAACAAACACACGGGACACATGTTTGTTGCCCTCGCAGCGTTGAATCAACGATCGGTCGAAAGCTAGCGGGAAGCGCGAAGGACAACTCCTTTGAGCATTGTCGAACGCGCTTCCTGTGCGATGGCATGCTAGGCGAGCGAGCGCAGAAGCAGCAATGGCAGCGTGCAGAAGGCGGGCAGGCCAGAACGCACCGCCGGCTCCCAATTGCGCACTTGGTCTGGGCAGCCCTAGGCGACGCTCCCTCAACTCGCCCCCTGTCGAGACTCATTATCCCACGTCTTGACCAGCGACCGAGCCAGAAACGATGTGTTGACGACGAGACTCCACGGAGGCCCAGTGGGGATGCGACGCCTGCCGCGCCGAGCGGGTGCAATCGACATGCTTCCGGGGACGTGGGGTGCCACGGGCGAAGGCTGCAGGGCCCCGCAGTCTCCCTCTCTTGGTCGCCTGCTGGCTGCACGAGCTTGCCGAGACGTCGCGCATACTCCGTGACGAGCCTTTGGAATAGTTCGTGCAGCGCCGCGAGGTAGTGAACAGATCGAGCGAAAGGAGGGGTTCAGGTCTCATGATCGATCACATGGCGTCAGCCTCCAAGATAAAAGTTGTCTCCCACGTTGAGGATGTAATCTGGAGGGCTGATGACTGCCCGCTTCGCCATCTGATCGGCAACGTTGCGTTGGGCACAATCATCAGCGCCCCACACCTCAGTAACGTTCGAGCCGCTCTTCCTCTTCCTCCTTCTCCCTCTTCCCCCTCCTTCTCTTCCTCCTCCTCCTCCTCCACCTCCTCCTCCTCCTCCTCCTCCTCCTCCTCAGCAGGGCCTTATCCTGAAGACGGCGGGCAAAGGGCCTGTGGAAGGGGCACCGCTGGGGCCGGGGGGACAGGCGGCACGCGGCCGTTCATGGGACAGCAGCAAGCAGCGCCCGCGGCGCTTGTCGGGGCGGCGCAGGCCTTCCCAGACTGGCCCTTCCACGGCTGGATATCCCCCCCCTTCCCCATGATGGGCATGCCCGCGGTGCCACGCATGGGGGCCCCTGGCGGCGTGCCGCAGCAGTGAGATCCGAGGGCTGCCTCCTCTCAGCGGCAACCGACGCCGCAAGGCCGCGTGACCCTGGCGCAAGTGGGGACGGCTCCTGCGCCCGAGCCGCGCCCTGCGCCCCGCGCGAAAGCGCCCGCGACGCCGCGGGGCACCCCGACCCGCGGCCCGCCGCCGCGCTGGGGGCAGCCGCAGACCTCTGGCCGCTCCAACGGCAGGCGCGGCGCACGGGCCGCCCGCGGGCCTCCTTGCCCCGCGGGCCGCGGCCGTCTCAGTGGCGCCAGGGGTGCCCGCGTCGCCGTGTGAGGGCGAGGCGAAGCCGGCGGCGCCGCCGACAGGCGCGGGCCAGCCGCCCATGGCCCCCTGGGCGCAGCAAGCCCTCCTCCTCACGCGGCCCGCGGCAGGTCGGGCCGAAGGCCGGCCCGCAGCCGCCGTTGACGCGCCCGCCTCCAGGCAGGGCTTCTCGGACGGCCGCCTCCACGGAAAGCCAGGGCGGGGGAGGCTTGGTCGTGTGGGAGGCGGCGCTTGCCGCTGCCGCTGGAGTCCGGGCGGGCGCGCCGGCGGCCCCCGCCGAGGCGGCCGACGCGTGGCGCCCCCCCGCCCCTCCCCCCCCAGAGGCCGCCCCCCCCCCCCCGCCCCGCACGCGGCGGCTGGGCCCGTGCCCGTGGCGAGCCCAGTGGTCACCGTCCTGGACGCGAAATCGGTGGCGGCGAGGCTGCGAAACTCCTAGGGCCCCGCCGGGCCGCCCGTGCTGGTGCAGACCGTGGAGGAGGAGGCGGGCCTCCCTTGGCGTCGCCGGACGGCGTCCGCCTGGAGCGCGGAGAAGGGCGGGGACAATCGCCTCAGCGTTCTCCGCTTCCGGATGCCGGGCCGCCCCTTGTGCAAGAAGAACGCGGGAGCCTCCGTCCAGTGGTCGCCTATCACGCAGCAGGCCGTGGTGAAGGCCATCAAACTCAACATCGCGGACTACGCCACTACGCCTCCAGCTGGGTGGCAGCGGGCTCGTCAACCAGGTGGTCCCCGCGCCGGGCTCCTTCATCCCATCGGCGGCGGCGCCGGCGGTGCCGCCCCAGCGGTCCGTGGCGTCTTAGCTGCAACAGGGGGCGGCTTGTGCAAGCAGGGCAAGGCGCGCAAGGTCGCTGGCGGTCGGCGAGGCGCACGCGTGCCGCAAGGGGAGCCGAGACGTGGGCCAGGCTCACGGCGGCGCGGCGTAGCCCGCTGGCCTGGCGGTGACATTGCGCGCGGCAGGCGCGCCTGGTGCTGCAGCGTGCCGCAGGGGTGGTGCGCCCAGGTTTGGGTCGGGCTGCCATGGGCGGCATGGCGGCGATGGGGGCGCCCGCGAGGCGACGTGGGGGTGCGGTGCGTGGGCGCGGAAACAGCTGGCCCTGCCTGCCACCACTCCTTCCTTGCGCCCTGCCGCCCCCCCCGCCCCCCCCCACCCTTCCTCTCCCGCCCCGTTCCTCCTTCCCTCCCCTTCTCCCTCCGCCCTTCCCGGGGGGGAGGGGGCGCCCAGGACTCTGGGAGGTATAATTGGACTGCGTCGCCGGCGGATGGCGGTGGCTTTGAGCGCCGCGCGGGGCACGGCTGCCACACACGGCTTCTGGCAAGCGGCCCCGCCAGACGTCCTGCCTTCTCCGGAGCGCTGCGCGGACGTGTCAGAGGGACCGCACTTTCCTCCTTGCCCCCTCACCTTTCCCCCTCTCCCCTCCTCCCCTTGCCCCCTCCCTCCGCCCTTCCCGCCCTTCCCCCCCCCACTCCGCGGGAGGGGTGGGGCGGGCCCTGGGGACCCCGTAAAATAATTGGACTGCGTCGCTGGGACGCGGGCAGTAACCCAAGTGTGACGTCAAACGCTTCTTCGGCGAAGCGCTTGGCGTTGCACGCAGGTTACCACCACACCCAGTGGCACGTGGCCCGGTCGGCCGGGGCGCTCGTAGGTCTGCCTCGCGCCGCCTGGCCAGCCCTCGCGATCTCTCCCCCCCGCAGGCCGGTCCAGGCGCTAAAGGTACACCCCTGTGGCAGCGGCGGCCTCGGCTCCCCAAGGCGGGTTGCCCGAAGGCCTGGGGGGCTGATGTTCCCCCCCTCCGGGGGAGTCGCCCAGGCCCGCGGTCACCCCCCAGGGGCCGTCCGAAGCAACGCAGTCCGAAACATACTCCTCCTCCTTCTCCTCCTCCTCCTCCTCCTCCTCTTCCTCCTCCTCCTCCTCCTCCTCCTCCTCCTCCTCTCTCTCCTGCTCCCTGCTCCCTGCTCCCTCTTCCCTCCTCCCTCCTCCCTCCTTCCTCCTCCCTCCCCCATTCCTTCTCCTTGCGGATAACTCCTCCCTGTGGCCCCCCGAGGCTGGTCAAAAGGGCAGGCTGGGCGTTTCGCCCGAGACTTCCTCACCACTTCTGACAGTGAAGCTTAAAGGCGGGCAACCGTTTCACGGATGGGCGGCGGGAGGTTTCAAAATGTCGCTCTCGCCTGAGCGCCGCGCACATTCGTTTGAACACCTTGCAAGGAGCTTCACGCGGCGACGCGCACATTCGCTTTAAGCACGTGCAAACGTCTCAAGGATTCTCATTGCTAGCCAACCAGAAACGGTGTTTTGGAGCGAGTCAGGATTGTCATGGCGCAGCAGTTACGATTCTCTGTGTTGAAGTCCCACGATTGGTACTCAGGCACGATTCAAGACCGTCAAGACGCAACAGTCAGATTAATTCGTGGCGTTGGAATCCCATGAATGGTGTCTTCGCGCGCGACAGGATTCTCGCACGGTTTTCCCCAATGGGGCCACCCCTCAGTGGAAATGAACCCCTGTAGGTTCCTGTGAAGAGGGAGCTTGGGGTGGGTGCATTCCAACATCGTTGATGGGTCTTGGGTTTGCACCGGTCCCTCCTTCTCCTCCTCCTCCTTCTCCTCCTCCCTTCTCCCTCCTCCCTCCTCCCTCCTCTTTCCTCCCTCGTCCGTCCTCCCTCCTCCGCCTTCGTCCTCCGTCCTCCCACCCCCCTCCACCCTCCTCCTTCCTCCCTCCTACCTCCCCCAGTCCTTCTCCTTGCGGATAACCCCTCCTCCTCTTCCGTCCTCTGTCCTCCGTCTTCCGCCCTTCGCCTTCCGCCCTCCGTCCTTTTTTCCGTCCTCCGTCCTCTCTCCCTCCCTCCTCCTGCTTCCTCCTCCTCCTCCTCCTCCTCCGCCTCCGCCCTCCCTCCTCCCTCCTCCCTCCTCCCTCCTTCTCCTCCCTCCCTCCCCCCTCCATTTCTTGTCCCATAGATAACTCCTCCCTGTCGCACCCCGAGGCCCGTCGAAAGGGCGGGCCGGGCGTTTCGCATAAGACTTCCTCACCATTGACGATCCTGAAATTTAGCAGTTGGCAACCGTTTCACGCACTTTCGTTGTCAAAGCTTGCAAGAGTTTAACGGGTTGAGGGTGGGCCGTTTTTAAAGTGGCTCTCGCCTGAGCGCCGCGTACATTCGTTTTCAATATTTGGGAGACTTTTACGAACTGGGGACGGTCGTTTTCAAAAAAAAGGCTCTCGCCTGAGCGCCGCGCACATTCGATATCAACGTATGTAAGAGTTTCACGGATTGAAGAAGGGTCGCTGTCAACAGGGTGGGTATCGACTTGGCGCCACAGGGCGGTGCCTTTCCAAACTGTGGCTCTCGCCGCAGCGCCGCGCACAGTAGCTCCAACACATGGTATTTTTCACGGACCCCATGGTCAACGTACCAGACATAGTGTCTTGGATTGATTCAGAAATGTCAGGACGCAAAACTTACGTTGATCCGCGGTGCTGAAGTCCCAGGAACTGTGTTCTGGCGCGACTGAGGATCGTCAAGACGCAACATGCACATTGATGTGTGGCGTTGCAATATTGGAAACTGTATGTTGGTACGGTTCGGGATCTTCAAGCGGTTGTCTCCATTGGGGCACTTCCCTCAGAGGAAATGAACCCTTGTAGGGGCCTGTGACGAGGGAGCTTGGGGGAAGGTGCATTCCAACATCGTTGATGAGTCTTGGGTTTGCACTGGTCCTCCTCCTCCTCCTTCCTCCCTCCTCCCTCCTCCCTCTTCCCTCCTCCTCCTCTCTCGTCCTCTTCCTCCTCCTCCTCCTTCTCCTCCTCCATTTCTCCTCCTCTCCTTTTCTCCTCTTTCCCTTTTCTCCTCTCCCTTCTTCGTCTCATTCTCCTACTGCTTCTTCTGCTGCTGCTCCTCCTCCTTCTCCTCCTCCTTCTCCTCCTCCTGCTCACCCTGCTCCTCCTGCTCCGCCTCCTCCTCGTCCTGCTCCTCCTCCTCCTCCTGCTCCGCCTCCTCCTGCTCCTCCTCCTCCTCCTGCTTCCTCCTCCCTGCTCACTCATCCGTCGTCCCCCTTCTCCTGGTCCTGGTCCTGCTCCTCCCCCCCAGTCTTCTCATGACGAATAACTCCTCATTGTCGCACCCCGAGATCGGTGGAAAGGGCGGGCCGTACGTTTCGCCTGAGTTTTTCTCACCATTTACGGCCCTGAAGCTAAAACTTTGGCAACAATTCACACATGGAGGACGGGTGGTTTCCAAACTGTGGGTCTCGCCCGGGCGACGCGCGCATTCATTGAAGAAATTTCGCGGCTTGAAGACGAGCCGTTTTTAAAATGTGGCTCTCGCCGGAAAGCCGTGTACATACATTCGTTTTAAATAATTGAAGAGCTTTCGCAGATTGACGGCAGATGGTTTTCAACATGTGGTTCGGTTCTCGTCTTAGCGCCGCGTACATTCGTTTTCAAACTTTGCAGAAGTTTCGCGGATTGAAAGCGGGTCGTTTTCAAACTATGGCTCTCGCCTGAGCGCCGCGCGCAGCCGTTCTCACAGCTTGCAGCGGCGGGCTGTTTAAAAGATGTGGCTTTCGCCTTAGCGCCGCGCACACTCGTCCTAAACATTCTCAAGAGTTTCACGGATTGCGGGCGGTTCTTTTTTAACATGTGGTTCTCACCTTAGCGCCGCGTGCACTTGTTATTACAGAGTCTTGCATGGGTATCACTGATTCTCGTGGCTGGCGCACCAGGAACAATGTATCGTAACGGTTCAGAATTGTCAAAGGGCGCAACAATTACGTTGATTCGGGGAGTTGATGTCCCAGCACGGTGTTCAGGCACGGTTCCAGGATCGTCAAGACACAACACTCAGGTTGACTCGTGGCTTTCAAATTTAGGAGACGTGTTTTGGCACGCTACCGGATTGTCGCACGCTTGTCCACAAGTGGGGCAATTCCTTCAATGAGGATGCGCCCTTGTAGGGGCCTGTGAGGAGGAAGCTAGGAAGGATGATGTATTCCAACATCGTTGATGAACCTTGGACTTACACTGGTCCTATTCATTCTTCCTCTCCTCCTCCTCCTCCTCCTAGTCCTCCTGCTGCTGGTGATCCTCCAGCTCCTCCTGCTCCTCCTGCTTCTCGTGCTCCTCCTGCTGCTCCTCCTCTTCTTCCTCCTTCTCCTCCTCCTCCTCCTCCTCCTTCTCCTTCTCCTTCTCCTTCTCCACTTCCTCCTCTTCCTCTTCCTCTTCCACTTCTCCTTTTCTCCTTTTCTCCTCTTCCCCTCTTCTCCTCCTCCTGCTTCTCCTCCTGTTCCTCCTCCTCCTCCTCCTGCTACTCCTGCTCCTCCCCCTCCTCCTCCTCCCCGTCCTCCTCCTTCTCCTCCTTCTTCTCCTCCTCCTCCTCTTTGTTCCCTTCTTCTTTCTCCTGATCCCCCCCCTTCTCCTCCTCCTCCTCCTCCTCCTCCTCCTCCTCCTCCTCTTCCTCCACTCCGTTCCTTATGCGTAGCTCCTCCCTATCGCACCGTGGGGCGTGTCGCTAGGGCGGGCCGGGCGTTTTGCCTGAGACGTCCTTACCATCTATGAACCTGGAAATTCGAAACTGGCAACCGTTTCACAAATGGAGGGCGGGAGGATTTCAGAATATGGCTCTCGCCGTAGCCCCGCGCACATTCGTTTCCAACATTTACAAAAAGTTTCACGGATTGAGGGAGGAATGTTTTCAACATGTGGCTCTCGCCTCAGTGCCTTGCTCTCAAACTTTGCAAGAGTTTCACGTCTTGAGGGCGGGCCTTTTTTCAAAATGTGGCTCCTGCCTCGGCGCCGCGCGCATTCGTTTTTAACATTTGCAAGGGTCTCACGGATTGAGGGCTGTTCCTTTTTAAACTGTGGCTCCTGCCTCGGCGCCGCGCACATTTACTTCAAACATGTGCAAGAGTTTCAACGGTTCCCGCTGTTAACGTACCAGGAACACATGTTTTAGAGCAATTCGTTGGTGTCAGTGCGCAGCAGTTATGTTGATTCGCGGTGTTGAAATCCCACGTATGGTGTTCTGGCGCCATTCAAGATCGTCAAGGCGCAACAATCAGGTTGACCCGTGGCGTTCAAGTCCGGAGAATGGCGCGTTGACACGCGTCAAGATTTTCACACGTCGGTCCCCGAACGAGGCACTTGCCTCAGTGGAAATTAACCCTTGTAGGGGCCTAGAAGGAGGGAGCTTGTAGGGAGGGTGTACTCCAACATCGTTGGTGAGCCTTGGGTTTGCACTGGTCCTCTTCCTCCTCCTCCTCCTGCTCTTCCTCCTCCTCCTCCATCACTCCCTCCTTCCTTCTCCCTCCTCCCTCCTCCCTTCTCCCTCCATCCTCCTTCGCCTTTTCCTCGTCCTCCTCCCTCCTCCCTCCCTGCTCCTCCTCCTCCTCCTCCTCCTCCTACTCTCCCTGGTCCCTCCCGCCCTCCCCCCTCTGCCCTCTTTCCTCCTCCTCCTCCTCCTTCGTGTCCCTCCTCCGCCTCCTCCTCCTCCTCCTCCTCCTCCCTTTTGTCCTCGTCCTCGTCCTCCTCGTCCTCCTGGTCCTGCTCGTCCTCGTCCTCGTTTTCCTCCTCCCCCATTCCTTTTCCTGATGAATGACTTTTCCCTGTCGCAACCCGAGACGTGTCGCTGGAGCGGGCAGGGCGTTTCGGCTGAGATTTCCTCAACACTAACGCTCCTTAAGCTGAAATTTGAACATCTTCACAGATGGAGGGCGGGCCGTTTTCAACATGTGGCTCTCACCGTAGCGCCGCGCACATTCGTCGTAAAAGTTCGCCTGAGCTTTTCGGGTGGAGGGCGGTTCCTTTTCAACATGTGGCTCTTGCCCTGGCGCCGCGTACAGTCGTCTGAAGAGTTTACAGCAGGGTCAAGAATTCTTATGGATGACGTCCCAGAAGCTGTTGTGGTCCAAATTTGGACTTTCAGTGCGTAACATTCATTTTGGCTCGCTGTGCTGAAATTCCAGGAACGGTGTTCTGGCACGATTCAGGATCGTCAGGACGCAACTGTCGCGTTGATTCGCCGCGTCGAAGTCCCAGGAATGGTGGCTTGGCACGGTCCAGAATTTTCGCACGATGGTCTTCCCAAGGGGCAAGTCTTAAGTGAAAACAAATCGTATGAAAAGGGAACTTTGGGGAAGCGTTTGTTGCGACATCGTTGGTGAGTCTTGGGTTTACCCTGCTCCTCCTCCTCCTTCTGCTCCTCCCCCGCCCTCGCCCTCTCCATCCCCTGCTTTCTCCTCCTCCGTCGTTCTCCTCCTCCTCCTCCTCCTCCTCCTCCTCCTCCTGGCGCTTTCTTAGCAAGGGAACTCAACAAGAGCTCACCCATCGGGCGCGCCGAGCGCGCCAACCGACGGCGACCAGAGGTCGGACCGGATCCAGCCTCAGGATCGGAGCCTTCTCGGCCCCGGGCGAAGTCCCGCTGGTGGCTGGGGAACTCAGGAGAC